ACATGCTCTTTCGCGTCGTGCTGCATGGTGGGCCAGTAATATCCCGCCCGTAAGGCTTTTCTTGCGAGGGATCTTCCGCCCAGATACTGACTGTTGATGCCTTCGTGGATTTCGAGCAAGACGCGCTATGCTCCTCTTTCGGTCGACACATTTTATAAGTGGAATGGAAAATCCTCTTTTGTAAAGTTTTCCTTCGACCAAGACGTACGAGCAAGCTCTCCGCCTGACAATGGCCGCTTCTTTTGGGTTGTCGGGGAGTTTCCCCTTAGTGAGGTAGTCGTGTACGGGGGTCATCCAGCAATCGTTGTCCCCGATGACGAATACTTCTAGGGTAGAAGATGGACTTTGGGTGCTTGGTCGAGAGAGAATATCTTGTACCACAGATTTATTTTCTCACTTTCTCTTCGTGTTCTCCAACTTGGATAAGATATTTGCGCAGGCATTATGCTCGCGGGGAACGTGTTGTACATCTACAAATTTAAACTTCTTTTTTGTTTCCTTGACCAGGGACCAATATTCAGAAAGCTAGTTGTTTTTGACTTGATATTCTCCTCAGACATGAGAGGCAACCAACTAAGAGTCGGTGAAGATTTTTACTTCCTCTGCTCCAAGATCTTCGGCCAGTCGTAAACCCGTGAATATGCCTCGTATTCGGCCTGGTTGTTGGAGGTTGGAAAAGATACGGTGAGAGAGACTTCGATTAGGGTCCCTTCCTCGTTTTCCAGTATGATGTCCGCACCGCTTCCGATCGAACTGTAGGCGCCATCGACGAAGATCATCCAACAACGCGATTCGTCAGGGTCTGTAGGCGAGGTCATTTCAGCTACGAAGTCGGTCAAGGCCTGAGCCTTAAGGGCTTTCATGCTCTCGTATTGGATATCAAATTCAGAGAGCTCCAAGGATCATTTCAACATTTTGTCGGCCATGCTTTTTCGGCTTCATAAATAAAATGTGCCTCTAGGAGGTCTTTTACAGCTAATTCTGCAGCCTTTGCTTTTTCGGACGACTGCTTTCTTTTGCGCTGCACGACCGCCTTGATGGAAAGATCAATGGTCAAGTGATGGCATGCAACCTTTAGATTTAAATCGGACATCTCGGACGCACTCCAGGCGAATAGATCATCATTTTCCCTTAAGCAAGCTTTGAGTTGCCTTTTCGCCAGGTCGGGGAGGTCTGCTCTGATCTTTACTCCCCTTACAGGGTCTTCTCCAAGGGGAACTAGCTCGAAGTCGTCGTCTAGGATGGGCCGTGCGTGACTCGAGAGTTCGTTGAGATCATCAAAGGAGTTTGACCCTTCGTCTTCGACCATAGGCTCATTTCCTTTCCTCCTTTGCTCGACGTGGTCTTACATGGAGAAGCGACTGTCGAGGTTAATGATGTCGACCCTCGGCAACAGCTTGATTTCCTCGGAACTGGAGGGCAGTGTGACTCCAGTGGTCGTTCGAGGTTGGGCGTTAATGGAACTGAGGTCTTTGTCTGAAGCTTCAAAGCACCTTCTGGCTGCTTGGATGTCCCCGTGGAGGGTGGCGACCAAGCATTCCGGCAGTGTAATGCTTCATCTTGAGATGAACGGTAGAAGGGACCGCGATGAGTTCGGAGAGAGTGGGTCTCCCGAAGATGCACTGATAGAGAGACGGGAAATCTACCACATTGGGTCTTGATGACTCGGGCCGTTACCCCTCTCCTGAATGTGAAGATCAGTTCTACATATCCCTGGGGTTTCGTGCTGGCTCTATTGAAGCCCTGGAGATAAGATCCCGACGTAGGGGGTTAGGTGGCTCTCGTTCAGCTGCAAGGTGATGAACAGTTGGGCGTACATGATGTCCACCGAACTACCTTAGTCAACCAGAATGTGACACACGTCAAAGTTAGTCATCCGAGCCCTCACGAGTAGTGGGATGCTCGAATTTGGGGGGGCGCCCAACAATTCTTCCTTGTAGAAGGAGAGGGGATGAGAGCCTCCTCAGAATTTATCGAGCGTGGCGTCCATATCTGAGTTGGCTTCAATGAGTTGGTCGAATCTCCTCTTCAACCGATCCAACTGTGTGCCTGTTGAACCCTCTGTCGGAGATGACCATGGCTACAGGGAAGGATTCCCAAGGACTGTGGGAGGAGAAGTACAGGGGAACGTTCTCCATATCCAAATAATAGAAGTCTTCCGGCCGTGAGATGCTCATGGCGACCGGAATAGGGTCGAGGTCGGGGGATTTCTTCCCTTCCTCGATATTTTTGGTTTCTGATGCTTCGTCACGGGCACCCTCCTTCTTTTTATACTGCTTGAGGTGCCTGTCTCTGATCAGTATTTCAATTGCATCTTTGAGATGAATGCAATCCTTCGTGTTGTGACAGTGACTCTTGTGGAACCTGGAATACTTGCTTTTGTCGATCCCTGGCTTGGACGGTGTTTATCAGGGGAAGCGCATCCCGACTTGCTTGAATTTAGAATTAGCGCATTCAGAAAGAATACGCTCCCTGGATGTTGTCAGATGGGTGTAGTCGTGGAAACGATCGGCTGGCCCTTTGTAGTCTTTGGAATCACGGGACTTGTCCTCCCGTTTTTTCTCTCCTCGATGGGATGTCGAGGGCTCGTCATTCTTTGAGGATTTGGCACTCTTTGTGCCTGGATTCTCTAGCATTGTTGGCCGTTTTCTTCTCCTCGTACTGTATGTACGCCTGGACCTTAAGGAGAAGGGAGTCGAGCGTGGTCGGTGTCTCTATGCCCCAGCTTTGGCAAAGTCGCTGCGGGGACGGAGCCCGCGCTCGAAGAGGTACTTCTTCATGTTGTCTGTTGTTGGTACTTAGACCACTCCCTTGTTGAAGCGTTTAATATATGCCCGCGGAGACTTGTCCCTTCCCTGTATGATTGCTTCGAGCGAAGCCTTTGATTTCGGGTGTCGACGGGAGGCGCTGAAATGCCTCGAAAATATCCTCCCGAGTTGTTTCCACGAGGTGATGGATTCATCGGGGAGGCTCTCGTATTGTGCCATCGCCCCCTTCTTGAGAGTGGTTGGCAAGAGTCTGCATTTGGTGGCTCCCCTAACCCCTCGTTATTCGAGGAGAGCATCGATGTTCTCGATGTGCTCGTCAAGATCTGTTGTTCCGTCGTAGGTTCCCAATGTGGGTGGCTTCTCTAGGCCGACAGGAAGTGGAACTTCAGTAATCTCCCTCGATAGCGGGTCACGGGGCTCGTCATCCTTGCTATCAACGGAAAATGGAGAAGGAGAGTGATAGTTTCTTCCTCGTTGATCGTCACGGTCTTGTCGGGGGAAGGGGCTCCTCCGTTTCTGCTTTGGCTCGGGAGAAGGCAGTCGAGCGCGGTCGACTTGCCTGTTGTCTTTCCTCTTCTTGAATGAAGGGGAGTCTTGATCTCTAACAGGAGGTGTGTGGTTGTGTTTCTTGAAGAAAGAAACGACACGCCTCTCCTTTCAGGGCGGTGGTCCACGTCGGGGTGGTGAAACACTGAGGGAATTTCGTTGTCTGGTTCTCCGAGGAGGAGATCTTGATCGCTTGTTCTCCACGACCCATATCCTTTGATTTTGTTGTAGGATGAGGGTGTTGGTCTGATTGATAGCAGTGAGCAGTGCTGCCATGGCCGGGTCGGCGTTGAGAGGGATGGGAAATGATTGCATGACTTCTGGCAGTTCCTCGATAAGATTCTTGGAGTGTCCTTTGTCCAAGAATTGGTCGTCACTGCGTCGGGCGTCAGTGGAATCCAGAGATGCGGTCTGTCTGTCCCGAAAGCCCAGGTTGTCCTCGAGGTGAGGATGTTCTTGACTTCCGTCAGTTTTGTGAGCAGAGGAAAGAATGGTCTTTCCGGACATTGTGAAGATCATCATGGTCAGCCATGATTAGGAAGAGGAATCTTAAAAAAGTTGCTTTGATCTTAAGTTTCGACGAAAGAAAGATGGAGAGAACAACTTCCCACAGACGATGCCACTGATCTTATCAGTTGATCAGAACCTAAGAAGTGGCCGAAAGATAATCTACAGTTAGACTGTGAAGTCGAGGAGACAAGGAGGTTGTACCTACAAAGCACTCCGACGATCAAGTGAGAATGGAAACAATGAGATACAAGCAAAATAATAGATGGTGAATGATGAATATTCGATACCTGACTCTCACAGGTGTGTGAGGATTTATATAATGTCCCTGACACGTGGCCATTGGTTCCTGATTTCACACCTAGATATGCAGATCCGTGAAATCAGATAACTGCCAAGACTTTGTCAAACCGAACAGATGTGTCCGTAACTAACCGTTGGTGTCAAGGAGGGAGTTAGTTACTGACATCTCTCTGGTCGATTCCTGGTGGCTTGCACGACATTGATGTCGAACAAGCTGAGAGGACGCTCGTCGATGATCCTAGACTCGTGCTAAACTGGAAGGGCAACGGTTGTCGTTGCCCAATAGGTAATAGGCATTCCAGATTATGGTCATGCGGGCCATGTCAAAGGAAATCTCTTAGACTGGATCCAATCAAACAGTCGGGCCAGCCCCAGAACAACAATTAATTAGATTAAATATTATCCAATCAAATTACTGGTTTATATTAAGTTAAAATGATTTAGTTAAATATTGACAATTTGGCCTACTTTCCCAAAATAGAATGATTTCAAATAGAATAGGAGTGCACTCCCCAAGGAACAAGTACCACTCACTGATTTCAGATAAATTGATAAGAATGTTGTTAACAAATAACTCAACATATTCCAGCAAAGCTGTAGTTTTTCAACCGGAATGAAAGCCCCAAAGTGAAGCTTAAAAAATTACAACAATAAATGAATTATGACATAACTCAACCACTCCTGTATTAATATCAATGAATTACAACAAAATTTCATTTGATTAACCTAACTACATGTGCTAACAAGTCCTTCAGTAGCATTTTCTAATCTAGCAAAGCTAGGATTGGTGGTTTTTGTGACCCAAGCAATTATCGTAGCTCTGTTGGAGAAACAAAGTCAGCAATGAAATATATATGCAACAGCCTAATGTTGAGATCATCTCATAACAGACTCTTTCACATACGATCGATTACCTGAACTGCAATGTACACGAATGACATCAGAATCCATAGGAAATGACTTTAAATGGGTACTATGGGGAAAGAATATTTTAGACTCACGTATATTCAAGGTGAATATTCATAAATCGAGCATTTTCTTTGCTTTGTGTCAATGTTACTAAACCTTCAATTAATTGATCTTGTTCCAGGTCAATAGGATCATAGAAGTATATCAACGTCTGCAAATGCATTAACAAAATCAAGATAATTAAATTCATATCATAATGAAATGTAATTTTCAGCAAGGAGCCACGACCCTAGCTGCAATAGTGTGGCAGCGGCATATAGCTGTTATTCAACTATAAACTTCTTCAGAATTGTATCCTAAATGCAATTGGTTTAGACGTATGTTATGCATTTTTGTTTAATATATGCTTAGAGATAAGCATTGATAAAATACTTCAATATACACCTTGCTGAATAATAAAACTAGAACTTCCTATTGAAATTGGAAACTAAATAAAATAATAAAAGATGCACCTGCTGCCAATGTGTTGGAGGGTCCTCAGGTGCAGTGGATAGGACCAGTGCTTCACTAGGATTTGTTCGCTTTTTTCTCAAATTACTGTTCACTTGATTATTCTCGATAACTGATGTTGATGAGTCTACCGTTGGCACATTGAACTCAACATCAAACCAAAATGCAAAACCATGCAGTGGAGCTGTATAAACAAAAAAGAGAATTCAATTAACGATAGTAATTTGAAAGACAACCAAGCATTATGTCCACCTACAAGCAAACATGAAGGAGGTGGCGCAAATATCACACATTTTCTACACTGTATCCTATATTTTCGTAACATTGTATTGTATCCTATATTTTTCTAAGAAACGGCCTATCTCCATATCGCATACATATAGTATCTGTGCATCATAGATTACCAGCAAAAATATATATATTCAGAAGTCCTCAAATCAACGGAAAGAAATGACAGACAAAAGTAGGTTACCTCGCATCATTGAGTTGAACTTAAACTTTGATGTTACAGTTTCTAACTCATTGATGGTAATGGAATAACTATCAATATATTTAACCTGCAATAGTATGATAAATTTCTTCAAAATTCATACTAATACTACATTAAAGGAAAATTTAAAAAAACTATGCATAGAAACAAACAAGCTTGTATATAGACCGACCCCAAGATACTTTGAGCAGATACTGCGTTTTGTGAAAGTTCCCAGTCACTAAATAAAAATACCATGGAAGGGGAGAAAGGGAATCAAAACTTCATAAGAATCATGCCAATTATACGAATAAGTGAAGTGAAAAGAACAAAAAAAACATTTGTTGGAATCAAAACCTCATAAGAAACACTAGTGGGGAAACAGTTGGGAGCAAGATAGCTAAAATCAAGATCTTACCCAAGATTTGAAAAGGGTCCACAGACTGTAATTTGGGTGGATCAAACGATCGTCCAAAAAGTATTGAACTTATTTTTTAACATAAAAGTATGATAATCTAAATAATTAATAGATTATAGTATAAATAAAATTCAAATAACAATGTAGATAATTTTTTAGTTATTTTTTTTAATAACAGTTTACTATTTATTTAGAGTTACAAGTGAATATGATAGGGCATAGGATGAGAATGTATTGTGAGCAGAGAGTAGGGAAGGGGCGCGCAGGATTACTGTTAAAGTTGGTAGGAGAGTTTCTTACTGGTCAGAAGCAATAGAGCTCTAGTTGGGAGTCTTTTGACTCTAGTTTATCCTTTGGTTTGCTATTTCTTAGTTACAGAGCCTCTGAACTCATCTTTACCATTCAATAATTAACAGATTTATATTACTTGATTTTGCAGGTTGTGCGTATGATCTTATACACCAGCTTGCTATCTTGGCTTCCATGGCTCCACGGTTGGGAGGAAGAGACTTGTGCATTACCTCTATTTTCTTACAATTCTGAGTCATTTAAATTCCAGTATCTGTCATTTCTTAACATTTGAACATGCTGGTTCAGATATCTTTCTGATATCAGATCAGGAGATGGGACATATTGGGCTAACCCAACCCCAAAAACTAGCTTGCGGGGTAATGGCTTCCCCGACTTACAACAATTATTATTAGAAAGCAAGAAGAGAGAGAGAATTTTCATTGTAACTGAATTTCTATTATTCTGTTATTGAGTTTGTTACAAGTGAGATCTGTTTTTATAGAAAACAGAAGGGTAACCTGCAATAGCAGGGTAAAGAGAAAGATGACCTGCAATAGCAGGTCAGTACATAGAATACATCTAATAATTATCTGGCTATATCAGTCAATTGGAATCTCCAACATTCCCACACACCCATGACCCATCTGGAGAAAGAACTCTGCAATACTAGACATCTGGTGGTTCCCTGATAATGAGTGGCCCAACATGTCTATCATAGACTCCGATACCATATTAAAATTTTGGGCTTAGGTCTAACTCAACTCCAAAAGCTAGCCCGTGGGTGACACTATACCAAGTAGTCAATGTGGGATCTTCAACAATATAGTTTACGTAGTGAAAAAAAATGTTAGGCTGTTGTATCATATAGAAGCAGCCAATGCTCTTTTAACAACCATTGCCAACAGTGAAACACCTCTATAAACTGAACGTTAAACAGCACAAGTGCAAGACCCTGGCTCTGCCATATGGCTTCACATTGTTTAGTTATTCCACAATATCTTCCAATCCTATATTGGGGGACCGGTATAGAAACAAATCATGTCCATGGTTTGGTTCAGAAGGAAACAGAATCAAACTGAAATGAACTGGAAAAACAGTTTGCATGAACTTTTTGTTCGGTTCACCTGAGTTTTTATATTTCGGAATCAAACTGCTTCTGCAATTATAGCAGAAAACTGTTTATTGCAAAACTGAACCGAACTGTGTTGAAGCTTCCAAGCAAAACGGAATTTTTTTTTTAGACTGAGCAAAACTGAAATTTTGAAAACTGATAGCACTTTCAAAGAGTTCCAAACATTACACACAAGTTGCAGGCTTGAAATAGAAAAAATAAAACCCCAAAATGTGATGTGTAGGTGCTTATTTATAGAAAGGTTCTTGGTTAAAATACAATTTAAACAAGGAAATTTTTCCACATGAGAAATTAAACCTATTGTTTGAAAAATCAATAAACAATATATGATCCATTTGGTCCAATCAACAAAGCTAATTCTCGTCTGTGAGTTCTCTTGACATGAAACTCTCCCCGCATAGCTTACACTTCAGGACATTTATATCTCTAATCTCTAAGAAAGTAGGGATTTCTGATTTAGGGTTCTCGCTAACAAACAATGTAAAGAGTGACATGACAATTTGAAAATTGCAAGTGAGATATTATCATGCAATGTAAACCTGAAATTCACAAAAAAATGCAAGTATGACAGAAGTAATTGGAAATAAGTGAGAGTAGCACCAGTTCAGTTACTTGACGGTGCAGTTCAATTCTTTGCGGTGCAGTTCAGTTAGTGAACTGTGTTTAAAACACCGTCTAACTTGTTAACGGTTAACAATAGTTTGGTTCTTCGTAGTACAGTTTGGTTTGGTTTTGCAGTTCAGTTTGGTTTTTTATAACAGTCCTAAAAGAAACCCTTAGATGACTTATTGACTGAGCTTCCCATCATTTTGTGAAATATACAAAATGTTTTTGCATATATGCATATATTGTACATTGTATAATGGAAAACCATCATTCACATCTTTAAGTTAACCAACCTTTCTTCAAACACAACTCAAGAATGAAAAATAGTACATGTATAACCTTGGCAGGCATGTAATTCAGAATTCCATAATAGTGAAGAGAAGACAAAGTAAACAGTGACAATAACTCTAGCATACGTACCATATGTGGCCATGTCAAAATATTTTCACCGGTTATTGTCTCCACAGAAGGTTCCTCAAATGCACATTGTTTTGCTAATGATAGCATGGCAGACACTGCAACCAAAAGCAGTAGTAAAAACTGATAAGAAAAGCAATAGATAGGAAATTATTTATTTCCTATTCTACTTTAGTGTATACCTCACTAAATGTTCAAAGAACATACTTGGAAGATGGTCTTAGAATTTGAACTTTGGTCCAACTTAAACCCAAAAGCTAGATTGTGGTGAGAGGGTTGGCCCTAAGATAGGAGTTTATGGTTAATCCTAACTACCAAAAGCTAGTTTATGGGGTGAGAAATTCCGCCCAATATGGGATCTCCAACATACAGGACTAAACATTTGAAATTTCTAAGAAACTAGATTTAACGTTTCACTAGCCAAAAACAAGTATTGAAATTGGACAACCTGTGTGCATGGATATTTGACTAAAGTTCAGGCATCCATAGGGTGCCAAAAAACACTAATTATTGATATTTTAATACGGCTAACACAGGATCTGATGTGTGAAACATTCAAATCAGTGTCATCAATAGCAGATTGCAGAAAATAGCTGAATGCCAAAAGAATAGTAAATAAGTAAATCCAGCTTCAGCCAACGTCTATAATATGAAGTACAATAACAGATTTTGAAATCTTATTTACAATCCAGAATGACATCTAAGTTGCTATGCAGTGCACTTACTGTCAATTCCATAAACATTGCGCCAAAAGTCAACACTGTCACTGTATCTGTCCGTATGTGTAACAGGAGCAATGTACAACTGGAGAAAAGTACACCAAGAGGTCAGTACCTTTTTCATTTATTGGGTAAGACACCAAAAGCTCAGCATTATTGTAATATTGTGTACAAGATAAACTGAATCCATTAATTACTGAGTTCCTGACTACATTCCAGCAACTCTAAGCTTCATGTATAAGTAACCATAATTCCCATTAGGTTTATTAATCCTTATTAGGCTGAGATTGAACCAAACAAAATAACTTTCTGGAAAAGATATTCAGGATACTATAAACAACAAACTATATATTTACTTATTAGTAAAGAGTAAATAGAAATACCGATGCACTCGAAGGAAGAATAAGACCACCAGGTTTGAGCCAGCGATCTCTGGCAGTAATAACGCTCCCAAGCATGCTCTGCAAGAAAGAAAAATATCAAACCAATATAAATTATGAAAGTTAATGAACTGAAAGGATGGGAAAGAGAAAACCATAGCAAGCTGACATCTGAGTATCATTTTAGACAAGCAGACCCATATTGAGTGAAGAAGTCATAAAGACCCTTCCCCAATCCTACCGTAAGTGTAAAAGGAAAACAAAAATAATAGGAAAAAACACAAGTTCTAGATTTTGTTTGCCATTTTGGTTCCTCCTCCCAAGAAGAGGATAGTTCTCAATAAATTACAAACTTCAATCGCTGCTTTAACATTTCTTTAGATGGTAACAATAGAGATTAGAGATAATACGCTTTTAAAGTTTTATACGAATTTAAGTACTAGTTAGTTGTTCAAGAGATACTTTTTCTCATAAAACAACTATTCCAAACCTTAACCTTTTGAATGAAAGCAAATGAATGGTTTTATATTTGATATGCCGCCTCATCCAAGGACATTGGGCCTGGAACAAGGATAATGCACAAGTACACTGTACCTTTGCCTCTGCTGTACCGTTATTTTTATTTAGTTTAGATCGATGGGTGGCATGACCAAAATCATAAGACAACTTGGTCATGAGACTTGAAACCATGTTGTGAACCAACTATTCCTAAAACTTACTCTTGTGTGGAAGCACGTGAACGGCTTTTATTGCTCGCTTGATGGTACTATGTACATCAAGGGATGTGATGATATGTGATTTGTCACAAAAAACATGTCTGTGACAAAACCATTTCAATACAAGTCTTCTTTAATAGTTTGACTTTAAAGTTTTTCTTGAACTTCATGTAAACATCAAGCCTATCCTCCATCTCAACACCTCGAGCTAGCGCTCCAATAGGTTATCTGGCATTGCAAACCACCACAGTGAGGCTAACTTGGAAAGGGGGAAGAACCAACCCACTTAAATACTCCGTTGAGCATCCGATACTACTCTATGTAGGACTTGGACACTCCATAATACCCTAGTCTCTATCATAGCACAACTCGTGAGAGCTGACGAATACTAGGAGTCTAAGCTAAAAAAAAGAGTCTAACCCAAAAGAGTCTAACCCTAGGCTTATCATAAGCTTCACTTTTTCATGTGAGACTACCTGATGTGGAACTCGTAAGAACGCACCACCATCCAACATCTATGTCCTCGGCGGCTTTCACTTCACAACACTTTAAAACTTTTTCATTAGTCAGAACATTACTAAAGTAGCCCTTTTCGAGAAGTCAACCCTCTCAATGAAAGCAGGAATTTTAAGAGCATAAGCAGAAAGAGAGAAGTAGAACCAATCCAAAATACTAGTCTATTAGGTGGGAAAGCCCCTGGAGTTATAAGCTTTCCTTTTTAGGTGATACTCCTCAACGTAGGACTCGTAACAAAGTTCTCTTTATATCTGTCAACTCAATCATCAGAACACATATAGGAGCTACAGTTACAATATTATGATAAGGAGGACGGTTATAATATGATAAGGATATGAGAAGTCATTTGTTTGTTTTATTTTTACGCAACAAAATTGTAAGCCTTTCCACATTCATCTTTCTGATAATGATAAAAGATACTTCTGTTTAATTCCAATCCATTCAAGTTATTAAACTATCAGTCCCCTCAGAAGTTAATTTATGATCCCATTCACCAATTACATGATAACTTGATTTAACTTCTCAAAAGTCAAAATATATAAATACTGAAAAACGTATTCTAATATGCACCTCATATAGAAGCATATAGCCCATCCATTCTGAAATTATAACATCCACCTCTTCATTAATTTCAACATCCTGCAAAACTCATAGGCTGAGGTAAATATAAAGCTTGATCCTTGTAACGAATATGAAGTTGACAAATAAAAACCATACAAATTTCAAGATAAGTAGAATTTACATAAAATATTATATAAGTTGACCCTAATCATAAATAACATTGACATATTTTATAACACAGAAAGTAGGTGTAACGTATATTATATATTTATGGTAACTTGTAATTTTTTGTCTCTCCCACCTGCACATCTTATTTATAAGGATAATAACATTGTCATGGATAAAAAAGTCTTAAATAGTTTGTTTGGATTAACATTTACCTTGTGGCAGTTGACCTTTATTTAGTGGAGATGATGAATTTTAATTTTAATTATCTAATCTAAACATTATACATACTCATAGAGGACTGTAGACTTTATTATACAATGATGCACACTAATTTTCCTATTTTCTAATATTATCTGTAAATTTTTATTAGAATTGCAGAAAAGGCCCAGTGTGGAAGGGTTTTAAACACGGGTTCGTGATTGTTTGGTGTTTGAGTCTAATAATGCATAAGTTGGTGATATTGCTGAATAAGCAGAACTAGAATGATATTGTAGAAGAAGAAAAACTGCAGGCTGGGAGCTGGATGAACATAAGAGTGAGAGGAAACATTCATCCTGCTTCTTAGTGATTTTTGAATTTGAGGGATTTTTGGGGCATTTTTCAGTGATCCAATGGGGCTGTAGGTGTAAAAGTTTCATAAATCAACATTTGAAGTGAAATCTGATTTATGGAATATATTGGTATATTTCTTTCCATTGATGCTAGTCAAGGCTGTGGGAGTTAATTGATGTGTATAGGATTCAGGCTGCTTTTTATATGCAAGCCTGAATTGGTTTCCCTGGTATCCCATGGATCTTTGCTGTTCTGTCGTTCTATATTGGTTCTGGTATAAAGGTGTATTGAACGAGTTATTGAGACATTGAGGTGTGCCGTGGATTGGAATCATATGATTGGATGATGTCAGTGTTTCTGAGATTTCTAAGTAATAGCAATGGAGATTACTCTTTCCATTTTCAGTTACAACTAACTTTTGATTTCAGAATAGTTAGTTACAATGATAGCAAATGTTTGCTCTTTATATAAGGCAAACAGATGACCTGCTACAGCAGGTTTTAGGTACACTCAAGCTGACAACTGTCAGTCTTGAACTAGGCATTTTGCTACTGTAGCTACTCTATTCTTTCCTCTAATACTAAGCAAGAGTGATGTTTACTGGTTGCTTGTGTTTTGCTACTATTGGCGTGGCCATTTCTATGAAGGAATGATGTCAAAGGGCTGGTTTGTTATAATTCTGAATGGAGATTCTGCTGACAGGTCATATTTGCAGCCAAGGTATTGTGTTTAGAACTATGACATGGCCAGGATCATGTTCTGGTGACTGGTAAGGGTGAACCCATGGTTCTTTGGATCGGTGTGTCTAGTTTCAGCCTGTGCCAAGAAAATAGCTACACTTACATTACACGATATCTCAAACTTAGCTTACTTTATTGCTACCTGGTGCACATGCTTCTCTTAAGAAAAAAAAACTAATAGCCTAAGTGAAGTGCTAAGTAAGAGCACTGATTAAGAAATTTCGGAATGGAAATTAATCATGAAAAGCATTAAATGCATTGATAAAAACTCCACTTCTCAAGGAATAATATCTATTGTTTGAATCTTCAACCAGTACCATCTGCCATATCTAAATAGTGGTAACTTCCAGGAAATATACAGACTGACGTGATTTCACTAATTTTGGAATGACAGTGAAAGTTTGTAGTTTCAGTAAAGGTTAGTTATAAGTCATTAGCTTCTAACCCAAAGAAAACATTATTCACGCAGATACAGGATTTCAGACTATATTATAGGTCTACTATTCACGCAGATACAGGATTTCAGACTATATTATAGGTCTGCGCACATGATCAGTAGCACAAGACAAGGTGTTCAAATGTTGAAACATTGGTTACAACTTACAATAGAAAGCCTGTGAAGGACTTTAAAAATAGGAACACACAATCTATTGGTAAAAAGATAATAAATCTAATAAAATCTCGAACCGAACTGATAATTCTTAAGAATTGTGGTTGGGACCTAACTTAACCTTTACATGGATAAGTGGCTCTCAAGTAAGAAATGAAAACAGGGCTGGGCACAGAACAGAAAGAAAAGGAAGAAACAAGAAGAGCCATTCAAGGAGGAAAAAAGACAGATAGCATCAACAATATTTTATCTTTTGAAAAGCTTGACCATCATAATTTTACAAACGTTGGCGCTAACAGATTTAATTATCTAAAGTTTAGTTTTGTCATCTTTTTTTTTTTTAATTTCAAACTTTATTTAGAGATGCCATAAATTTGTTGTTTGTTTCCATTATGAGCTAACTTTTATTTCACATTTTCAAGGATGAGAGTCATAAGATTTGTAGCCTAAACAATTTATGTAAATTTTGAAGTTTGTTTCCTTTTCAAGAATAAAAATGAGTTTTATTAGCCTTATTATTTTTATTGTATTTATCTATTTGCTGATTTTATTCATTAGATCGATTAAAATCTATGATTGAGTCATAACAATTATTTAGTTTTGAAATCAATTTTCTTGCAATAGACACTCTACTTTCTCAACTATTTACTTAATCAAATAATGTAAAGTAAACTCACTAATTAGCACACCAATTATTTTGGCATCTCAACAACAAATCCTGCAACTTAATTTTCAATCATTTTACCAAATGGTTTGAACGTTATAGTGGTCAAACTGTGTCAAGATATTAAGCCAAATATATCAATGATTGAAAAAAAATATGCGGTTCAAAAGAGCCTACCTCAACTCGTCCATGCAATACAATGACAACATCAGAAAGGTTATTTGCTTTAACAACTTCATTTGCCTGTTTGCAAAAGAAATAACTAATTGAAACCAATAACTCAAGGTAAAAAGTGCTATTTAAACATCATAAACAAACTTTTTGTATTGACAAACTCAACCAATAAACTTGTAAAACAGAAACAGAATAACTAAAATAGAAAACCCCAAGTAGAGGTAAGGTTTGGAAAGAGTTTAAAAAGCATAGGCAATCCTCATCATACCGGCGGGTTTCAAGTGAATCAATTAAGCCCTAAGCCTAAATTCTCGGTCTTCATGTGATTCAATCGAAGTCGGGTTAAGTCACTTGAATAATTTAGAATGAATGAATTGCCTTCTGTGCTACCACCGCTTTCAAACACACCTCATATAATTCTTAAGTTACATTTTAGCACAAAGGAAACATGGTCATATGAATAGAAATTCCAGACATGAAAATAAATCAATTTCAAGTTATTCTGACCAAAAGAGGTAGAGGAAGACCTATTGAATGTGTAAAGCACGCGGTAGCAAGAACTGGGTAGAACATACAGAAAAAAAATTCTTGTTCCACTGTATTTGTATAAGTGCTTGTTGTTGTACAGGTATAAAATTGGTGACATAATGAATTGGGTATGAGTTAGCTTCTTGAAAACAATGTGTCATGATCTTGAACTTTTTACCCTTATTCATCATACTAAATAAAGTACCATACCCTCACCCTAATTTTTTTATTTTAGAAATAATAAATAAAGCGTGTACCAATGGAAATTGTATCTTTGAAATTATTACCTGCAGAGCAATGTCACTGGCATCAACTGCATACACCTGGAAACATAAAATTCCACAATCTCATCAAGTCAAACACTTTGAAATAAACTATAGGTTGAAACAACTAGATTAAAAGCTTAATTATAAAAAATAAAAATAAAAAGACAGAGGCTTCAAAAAATACTGTTACAGAAAGTCTTAATATAAAGAGTATAAGCCACACTAAATTTAAATAAATGTATCCATGATCCTTCATAGTTTAAAAATATTAAACAAAGAGAGTAGAGAAGAATAAAAATTAAATCATATACAAGGCAGAAAAGCAATCATCCATGGCACAGCCGCAGCATCCAGCATATCCAGATTATATTAAATAATACAAGGGAGCTAAAACTCAAAATAAAGGATTTACAAAAAAAAAATTAAACAGATTTACTTTTATTTGAATGAAAAACACTTTTTGTAACAAAATATATAATACCATTCTTTCCGTATCAACAAAAAGTTTATACCAATATCAATTTAAAAAAGCTTACCCGCTTTGCACCGGCCTGAGCACAAAATATGGAAAGGATTCCTGTACCGCATCCAACATCAACTACTACCTGAAGACAAACAATACTTATGAGAGAAAAGAGAGAAATGATGTAGGAGCACAGTAGGACATGAAAAGCAAAAATGAACCTCAATCCAAACCAATAGTGTCAATTGCAGATAGCGGAAAAAAAGCAGATTGTTAAAATACTGTTATGCAATAGTGCTATAGCGCCATTATAGCGGCTATTATAGCAGGATATTTAACAAAATCTATGCAAAGAACACAAAATGGCAAATCATGAAAGAGTCATCACAAAATAGATAATGGAAAATCGAGTTTAACAATTGATACTAAAACTCCTCCTATATGTGATATCGAAATTACTTTGCCAGCAATAAAACTCTGATGCCGCATGATTGCTTCCCTATAAGTATCAGTCCGCACACGATCCTGTACCAAACCAGAGCAAGAAAAGGAAACAAGAAAATAACAAAATTACTTTCGCATTCAACAAAAACAAATTATTACAAAAATGAAGAAATTACAATTAGAGTAAGAAAGTAGCAGAATGGTGGTAGAGTAGAGTTATACCTTGATCATCTCTTGGTGAATCCCAAGGTGAGCATAGGAATGAAAATACGCCATGTCGTAATCGGTGCAAGCAGATCGATTAGCCTGTGGTAGTGGTTGAGGTTGTTCGGTATCGGAAACCCTAACACGGGAATTAGAGGTGGAAACACGTGAGCGGCGAGTGCCGTGACGGGCTCTGTCTCTGTTGATGTGATTGTGCACCATTTCCGGTGGTGGAGGTGGTGGTTGATGGTGGTAGCCGTTGGTGTTGTTAGTACTGTTATCCTTCAAAAACATCGCTCTCTCACTTTCACTCTCTCACTCTCTCACTTCAGTCTCTTCTCTTTTTTTCTTATTACAAACACAGCTGAGCCTTGCACGCACTGTCTAATCGGTTAGGTTATTTATATGACGCCACTGTTTTAATGTGTGAGGTGAGACACTTTAAAAACGTGTACCACTCAATCCATACACCAGCTGTTGAGTATTGAGTAACTAGGCTTCCTAAAAGTGAAGGAATCTATGCTCAAAAACAAAAAATTTAGGAATATCTTTACTTTTTATACTTTCAAAATATATATAATAAATTTTATATTTGCAATTCAACACAATAGTTATAAATAATAACTCTTTTAAAGAATTTTATATTTGCAATTCAACACAAGAGTTATAATAATCTAAATAGTTCCACCTTTATTTTATACTCAAAGAGTTATAATAATATAAAGTTTGCTTAAAAAAATTTGTTTTAAGGTGGAACGAGAAATATGAAATGTAGGGAAAAGGAATTATTCTAGTGCAGCAGTGAGAGTTTTTTATACGATGAGGTAGGGAGAATCTGCAAGGTTAGTACTAACGCTTAAACCAGTAAAATCTAAGAGGTGTAGTTTGAGAGTGAGAATGAGACCATACCTGAAATGGTGTGTCCTTTAGTTAATATATGGCAGGCGATTAAAATAACTCTCGTCTAACCAACATAAGATGTGGGAAATTGTTCAATCATATCTGACTGCGAGCGGTGTATTGGTAGTTAGGATCAGGTGTTCAGTCACTAGTAAGGTCTTTCACCTGCTCTTTTGTCTATTGAATGGATATTGTGAAATAGGCCTAATAATTGGGCCTTCTTTTTTGGATTTGTGGCCAACTTGGAACAGTTGTCCCCCATGTTCGAAGATTGATATTACCAGACCGCTCTCCAATGTCGTTGTATTCCTCTCGGACTAGTTGTCGGTATGAAGGAGAGGGAGAGTTTGTTGAGTTGGAACAGGTGGTCTCAAAAACACATGTATTAAATGTATGTCTTGTAATTGTAATGTTACACATAGTGAACTGGACACATGGCACTAGGTCAATTACAATTTCTTATTAGTTACTATTCTAACGCTCCTAATAATGCTCGGGGTGGTTAGATACTGAAGTGCACTGGGGATCGCTCTTCTTCAAAGGTAACGAACAACACTTCTTTTCCATTTGTACTTTATTATTGTTTGTTAGGGATCTGCGAAAATGGATGTGAAGATTCAAAATGAGATTTTGTTGTCAAGGATGGGAAGAAAATTGGCAAGTTTGATCCTAGGGAAGTTATTATGGGATTTTTCTTTCCTAGCTTTACTTGTGACGAACTCAATCGTCGTGAGTAACTTCAAACAAGAATGAAAGGTTGAGAATTACTTAAGGGCGCATCGTCGTGCTTTTGATAATGGTCGTGTAGATAATGAACTAATGTGGTGGTTGGAACCTGAATCTCGTGTTTATTCTTACGATTGTTCATTTTTATGTGTTGGCAGTAAAGTTGAAAGGGATCAAAATAGTTTTTAAACTGCCCAAAATGCATGGGCGGAGACCCATCGATATGTATAGAGCAGGAAATGTTAGAAAATTTCTTATTCTCCAGCAAAGGAGGCTTGGATCATGCCTTTATCGAGGTGGGGTCCTCTTCAGGCTTTGGTGCTCCCTCCAGAAGAAGAAGAAGAAGAAGAAATGTTTTGCAGTAAGTATGAACAATGTGGCCGTCCCCTTTATGAGTGCTTATTTTCCAGATAAGTGTCCGGCTTCCATTCAATGAAGTTAAAGTGAGTCGCCTCAATTTCTTGAGGTTCTCCCCTTCACAATTGCATCTGGTGAGTTGGGTCTATGTCAAAATCTTTTAGCATTGGTAAGGAGCATGACGACCTTTATAACACTCTGAATTTAGAATTATGATACTTATGTGTTTATTTATGAATGTTAATGATTTGTTATGGTGATTTGATTATTGATGGAAATATAAGTTTTTAAGTTAGAATTATTTAGAATAATTAAATAATAATTTTATGTGATTTAATGATAAAATATTAAGGAAAATAAAATAATTTGAAGTGTAGAGATTTAAGGGGCAATGAGGTAATTGTATGATAATATGTGGGGGTGTATGAGGAAAATCATCATAAGGGTCTAGTGACACTAGATAAAGGGGAAAATAAGATAAGAGGATTCATTCTGTATTATACGTGAAAGTTGGGAGAAAATAGGCTAGGTAAAGGAGAAGGCAAGAGAGTGTCCATCCATAGACTTTGAAGAAGCAATTTTTAGAAGAATTCTAAGGTAAAGTTGGGTAGTTATTTTCAATTATGATGGGCATGAGGGAATGATAGAATAGGGTTTTAGTTCGCCCTTTTTGGATTGATAATGAATGTTATGAAATAATTGATGATGATGTTGTTGTTATATGATGGTTATATGATGAATTTTGTTACCTATTTACGTGACAATTCTACTTTTGGTTGTTGATAAGTTTTCCTCCATTGTTGAGTTATAAGGGTTTGAGTCATAAACATGCAATTGATGATTGCATGATGTATGTATGATGTTATGACCTCTAAATAGGTGTTGTATAATGTTATAATTGTTACATAATTATAGTATTTCAAATTTTGAGATCAGGGCTTTTTACGGAATCGAAATTGGAGGTTTAGAAGGCCTCCAACGATGAAGAATGCAAAAAAAAATTGCATTTTGTTTGTCATATTTTGCACTCAGCGTGGGGAGGCGGACTCAGCGCGAGGAGGCGTGCTCAGCGCAGAGGTTGTTGTTCGTGTTTTTCGACTGAAACTTTTTTGACCATAACTTTTGATTCGTAAGTCCAAATATCGCTCTGTTCGAAGCGACACAATTTGACCATCAAATGAATTAGTTCCAAGGGCTGAATTTATCACGATAACATGAATACATGATGAGCATTGTTCATATTTGTTAATGTTATCTTGTGATGATGTTAGGATGTTGATAATGTTAATTATAACTGGTTAACAATGAAATGTTATGTTATAATGAAATAACATGATTGTATGTTTGTGAATATGAATATGTTGAGTTGCTAAAGTTGATGTTGTTGTTGGTTAATATTGATTAATGTTTGTGTATTGACGTATGGTGTTGTCATGTCAATATTGATATGATGATGTTGTTAATGATGTTGTTAATGATGTTGTATGTTCAAATATATACATATTATGTTAATGTTGTCGTGCTAATGTTCTTAAGGTGTTGATGATGTTGTGTCAGACTACTATGCTTTAATTAAATACTTACTGATTTTATAAGTATATTGTTATGGTGGTTGGCTGGTGGTGAGTATGTGATGTTGAAATGTTGAATGATATTGATATTGTTGTTGTGTTACGGGATAATAGTTAGAGTATGGGGAACTATTATGGTGAGCCAATGCATATGTTGTTTATTATCGGGAGGGGATTTTAAACATTATGTTGTTGTTGTAGCAACTGGATTTTTAATCAGAGCCACTGTTGTACCCCAAAATTTACCCTCCCATATTTCTCAAAACATTGCAAGAAAGATCCTCAAGTTGCTCAAGGTAGTCCAAGGGTTGGCTAGACAAGCTCTCTCCTAAGGCAGTCTACCCCAAATTAGGGTTTCATATTGCATCAAGATCCTTGAGTCCAAGTGATCCCAATTTCTTACCAATGTCCTAATATGTTCTCAAGATCATCCATGTCAAGTTTCAAGCCTCGCAGAGAAAGTTTGCTCAGTCAATTGCTCAAAAGTCCAAAAATCGACTGTGCTAGGGCAAAAGTCAATTGCGACCTACATACAGTCAAACTTTAAGATTTTTGGTCAACATCTTAATATTGAAGGATATTTCATCATTTGATCAAGGGTTGATCATGATTCATCAAGGATTGCTCACAATTTATCAAGACTCAAAAGTTGCTAAATTAGGGTTTTGCAGGAAAAGTCAACTCAACTTTGACCAAGCATAACTTTCTCATACTTTATGAGAAATGACCCATCCAAAGCCCATTTTGAAGAGGATGCAATTCCCTACAATAAATCTTCATCTCCCAAGTTCAAAATATGCACTCACAAGAAGTTATGAATTTGGACATTATAGGTCATTTTGAAAAGTCAACAAAAACACCTTTTTTGTCAAAGCTTCATACATGATCATGGAATATCAAAATGCGATAATACCAAAAGGGTTGTTTAGAGGACATCTCAAGATTTCTAAAAAGTCTAAGAACACCTCCAAAGAGTCAAAATTGAGGAAGTTATGCATTGTTGAAGTTGACCTTTTTTGCAAAATTGCCAAAAGTCAACTATCCCCAAAACTTCAAATTTTGCCAAATTGGCCCATTCTTTTTCACTTGTTTTAAGTTGGCATCATAGCCCACATGCTCTAGCCTTTTCCACTTGTCCATATCATATTTTTATTAATTATTTTGATTTTTATTTGAATTAATTTGGTTTAAATCAAAATAAATCAAATAAAAATCCAAAACATTGATAACCAAGGATTTTGTGTTATTTCAGGCTTCATTGAACAGCTAGCATCATTCCAAATTCGCATTAAGGCTTGAGTGAACAAAAAGATTCAAAATAAGCCATGTTTGGAAAGATCTTCAAAGCAAATCAAATCAATATACAAAGCATTGAAAGAAGAAGATTTGGATGCAATTTGCAACCCTAATCCCTTCACTAATACATAAGGAGGGCGTGCAGATAAAAAAGAAGGTGGGAAAGAGGCGCTAGAGCTAGAATAGAATTTGCAAAAATAAGCAAAAAGTGTGAGATCGAATTGGTGGTTAGAGGTTTCCTCAAGGCTTGGTATCTCTCCCAATCGCTTCCTAGCAATCTCAGGAACCTAAAGCAATCAAAACCAAGCGTTTTCAAGCCCTCCCACGCACTGTAAGTCCGTAACGGTATCACCCTTTTCTTGAATTCGAAAAGCTTTATTCTTGCATCCATAGTGTAAAATAATGACATAATATTGATCACCATGATGTTTGTAAGCTTTTGGC